ATTTATTATCCCAAGTCACACTATTATATTTTTTCCCACAAAATTCTTTTATTTTTAGTAAGGATAAACTTTTACAAATATTTTAACCATGCTATAGGGATGGGAAAAGGGTTGCAAAGAGAATCCAGCATCAAACTCGTGGTGGGCTAGTGTTCGAGTAATGATTTGCGAGACGAAATTGGGGGTGAAATGGAGACGACAAGAGAAGTTGATCAGATACAAAATTATCGATTTAACTTGCTTTACTTGTTTCGTAACTCAATTTCGTCCCTCAATTTCGTCCTGCAAACCATTAAACGCTAGTGTTCCCATGAAATTCTACGGTTGAATATTGATGTGAACCTGTCACATATACTGTGCATTACTGTTATGTTGCCGTTGAAATTCATGTGACGGTATTGGATTTGGTATCAGTCACTATGAAAAAGATTAAAGTCATTAACTTTTAATTCTTTTTGGTCAACTTTACATTTTGCTTGATGATTATATCCCTTGCACGATGTTTTTATGAAGAAACAGGTTAATTATTACATGCACCACTTGCACTTTTGCTATAAAGAATATGCCATTCCCGTCATTAGAAGACTATTGTCTCGGTAAAAAAAATAAATTTTTATCAATGATTTATTAATATGAGTAAAAAGAGTTTAGTTTTTTTTAAATAAAATTTTAAATTTAAGTATTACGAATAAAGAAATATGTATTAAAAATGTTTTTTCAAAATAAGATATGACGTAACTTGATTTTAAATTAATCAGAATTCAATATAATTACTGAATAAAAAAAAAAAAAAAAACAGAAATCAAACTTTTTGGCTATTTTGGAAAACCTGTTTTTGTTTTGCGCGATTGGTGCTCATCGGCTTCACGTTCCCCACGGGCCGCATGCCATATTCATTTTATTTTGTTTTTGTATTTTTGGGTATTCAACCTTACGGATGCTCTGGTATTTTCCTCATTTTGACTATAATTTTAAATGTGCATAAAATTAATGTAAAAAAA